ATAAGAGATACTGGAATTGTCATTCTGTCTTTCTACAATTAAAGTTGACCTTTATATTTCTAAAGCGTCTTCCCTAAGTGGAAGTATTTGTGGATTCCTTTTAATGTGGTTAGTGTAAAAAGTTATGCAAGACCTGGAAATTAACAGTCTCTATTTGTAGTGTATTAAAAAAATTCCTTCTTCAGTGTTACAAACTGAAACCAAGCCTTTGATGAAAAAGCCTGCAGATATTAACAGACAGTAATGGACTTTCCCCATCTCCTGATAAAAGCATGGGAAGTTTCTCAGTCATTTGGAACTACGGCATAAGTTGTATTATCACGAAGCAAAGATGCTTCCTCTGCCAAAAGGTCCCACTCTGTTGCAAACTCCCAAGGGGTCTCTGTGTTCCCCAACTCACCGCCTTTCTGTCTTGTCTGGAAAACTGGAATGAAAGTAAACTCTGGTGCATAGCTCACATGGAATGACAACAGCATAAAAACTGTTCTGGTACTTTGCAGATGAGAGGAAGAGGAATGTGATCATCTATGTATACTTTCTGGAATGCCTTTTCATTCCCATACAAACATCTTTAGGAGTTTCTCCTGGTTCTGTTGTGGGAAAAGGGCCTTTTTGCATCACAGATAGGCACTTTCACACCCGTGAAAACACTGCTTTTATTTGAAGGATCAATAGAAAATAGATTTTGTGCATAAATATTCTCATCAGTGATCAATAGAACTTGGACTACAAGCAGAATCCAGAAAGCTTTCAGTACCAAAGTCTTTGTTCCTTGCATGGATATCTATTTAGATTACATTTTGCTAAATTAAGACCGGTACAATCTCTGTGGCATCACTTTTTTCTTGCGGAGCCTTCTTCAAACCCATGAGAAGAGCATGAACAAAGGTTATTTCTGTGTTAGCAAAATACTCTCACCAAAAGAGTCCTTCACAATATGTCCAATCACCCTGATAATAAGAGGCTTATTAGCAAAAGGGGAAAATGTACTTCAAGGCCCTTTTTTGTGGTAGGAAAATCAGATCATTTTATGTACGCACCATCTTACCATACCAAAGACAACACAGAATATTTCCTTTTTCTTTAGCTAGAAAGCACCAGTAGAGTGCCTGTAGAGTGTTTACAGCAGGTCATTTATCACCATCCATCATGAACTCTTGTAGATGGAGGCCTGATTTTATTGCCGGTGTCACATGTTAAAAAGGACGTTTTACAGTGCAAGCAATGGAGAGTCATATCACCACAGGGAATCAACACACCAAGTGTCCAAACAATGAATACATTTCATGAGGAAGAAGTTTTGGGTAACTTTACACAAAATACACTTAGAGACATTACTGCTGAATTTGCTGGCATTTGTTGGACACTTGGGTGCGGTTTTGAGTATACATGTGCAGTCTTGCAACTCTCAAAGCTCGGGACATAACATAGGGACATAAATAACAGCTATTTTCCTGATTCCTCTGGTTACTTTTTGAAGACTGGGTTGCATCCCAGGTCACTACTGTAAGAAGCGATCGAGTGTCCTCATTGCTAAGTAGCTGATGTCACTGACCTGGAATCCATCCCATTTCTGTAGTTCTTCCTCAGTGTGCCTGTGCCCCTGTGTCTATATCTAATAAAAGTGTCTGTAAAAACCCTAGAGAAGACTGATAGCAAATGATGGGGTTGGTTCACGGAGGGGTTAGGGAAATCAAACTAACGGAGTGGTGTCCTGTTTCACTGAAGTGGATTCATTTTGTATCTCACCTCTGCAGGAGGGTGCACAGAGACACTACAAACTGAAGGCTCCTTTCACAGCTTGTTCCCTAAGGGAAAAAACTGAAAACGGGCTGTATGTCACTTGGGAAAAGATCCAGAGTTGAAACCAAATAAAAATGAGGAAACTGCCCCTACAGTATAGTGCAATGTAAATGTCACTGACTTATATTGCATTAGCCAAATGCTCAGGAGGCCGTGGACTTTTGAAAAGCTGTATGAACTTCCTCTCAGATTTCCACTCAGGGTATGGAGTCAGTCATTCAGCGCAAGATAAGAATACTTATCTAAAACCACTCACAGATGCAACACAGAAATACTGTATCTGCTATTAGCTAGAAAAAAAAATACATAAAAAAATAAATAAATTGAAGGAAACAAATTGAGTAAATCCTGACTCATAAGACTTACAGTGAACAGAAACTGTTTTGGCTGAGTAATGCATCATTCAAGCAGAGAATTTTATGTTTGGCTCTTACACAGTACACTGCAATTATGTCATTATTAGTACTCTTTATTTTTTCTTTGGCTTTTTTTCTCTGGCCTCTATTGGCCCGAGTGTTTGTTCACCACAGTAATAACGACCAGAATTATTATTTTTTGTTCCAAATGATCATAAACTATCAAACTAGCATAAGTCAGTATCCCAGATATTTCTCATTTTACCCTGACATCTGGACAGTATGCTGGGACACATCTGTTTAAAATTGTGCCAGTCATTTCAGTGAAAAATGGTATTTCACTGCAGCGATTTCTGCCAGAATGGACAAAGATTTAAAATAGTTTCCTTCTCACTGTCTCCCAGCCAGTGTGAGGTGACAGTTTCTGGAGCAATGGGGTTCATCTTCAGCAGGAAGCAAAATGCTTCATCTTCACAAACTATAGACATGTGAGTCTGTGCAGCATAGGCCAACAAAAGTGCAACAGGATAAGCTAAATGTAGGGCAAATTATGGAATAAGATCAAAGGCCATAAAGAACCATAACTCCAAAATGCATTTCAAAGGTTTTGTTTACCCACTTGGATCTGTTGAGCCTACATTGCTCAATAGATCCACCACCTGCTTGAGTGTTTGAGGGGCTCTTGTCAATATTTCTATATATATCACCAAGCTGTGTGTTTTTCTTTCTTATTGACTTGTAAATGAAGACTAAATAGAGTAGCCTAAGTGGTGCAAAGTCCACACACAGGTGAGAAGGGGACTGCAAACCAGCCATCCAAACAAAGAGGTCAATTCAAACAGCAGCTTCTTCCTCCAAGTCTGTCTTCTAAACTTTAAAAATGAGCCGCACATGCATATAAGTTGGCTGCCAATCCCTTCGTCATCCTCTTATAAATAACATGAGAATTAAGAAAACCTGAAAACTGGGATGGAGCCAAGATATACTGGCAGCATGTCCATGCCAGAGTTTATACCCCCGCCAAAAATAGCTGTGACCAATAAAGCAAGGTATGAAAGTCACCAAGTCCCTCTACCAGCTACTGAGAATGCTCTGTGCATCTCTCTAGTGTATTATGCTAATCCTCTGTGACACTTCTGGAACATAATGACACCGTTATATCTCAGGATTACTGCCTATTTCTGGCAAACTTCTCCTTAAGTTAGATCCATCTTGGATTCCGTCACTGTAACAGCTGAGTGCTATGTAATGTTTGGTCCTTCAGGATTGATATAAACTGGATACTAACTCTAAAAATGACAACATTCTGGTTTTAGTGTCTTCTTACAATGTGTCTGGGACTACTCGGTAGTTCCGAAAAACTTGGGATGCTGTGTAAAATGGAAATAAAAACAGAATGTAATGATTTGCAAATTTCATAAATCCGTATTTTATTCACAACGGAACATAGCGAATGTGTCAAATGTTTAAACTGAGCAACTGTACCATTTTGGAAAAATACTGGCACTTTTTCAATTTGATGGCAGCAACACATCTCAAAGAAGTTGGAACAGGCCATGTTTGCTACTATATAGTATCGTTATGTTCTTTAAGAGTCTGTAATAGTCTGGGAATTGAGGAGACCAGTTGCTTGACTTTTCGGAATATTGTCGCATTCTTGTCGGATCCAGGATTCTAGCTGCTCAACAGTGCTGGATCTTCCTTCTTATATTTTTAATTTCATGGTGTAGCAAATGTTTTCAATTGGTGAAAGATCTGGACAGCAGGAAGATCATTCAACGCCTGGACTCTGCTTCTAAGAAGCCATGCTGTAGTAATAGATGCAGTATGTGATTTTGCATTGTTTTGTGCCTCTTTCAAGCATTCCATGAAAAAGATGTCTGCATGGGAGCATGTGTTGGTCCTGAACCTTTCAGCATTGATGGTGCCTTTCCATATGTGTAAGCCGCCAATTCTATAGGGAGCCATGTTGCTTACCTGCTTTTAGTTTACCTAATTAGTTGTAAAAATGTTGCAAAATGTGTTTTTCTTTTTAGTACCAATTTTCCAGCCTTTTTTGAATACATTCTGCTGCTATCAAAAAGCTCAAAAGTGCTTATTTTTTTATTGAATTAAGTTTAACACAAGCTAGTCTCCTTTTACTAAAGGTTTATGTAATGTAAATCTTTACAACTCACAAAAAAATGATAGAGGACAATCACTGTCACTTATCATAGAAACTGAACTCGATTAAATCCCAGAAAATACTTTTTAGAGACGCAGGCATTTATGCATGAATTCAAGAATCACATGGATGTGCAGTAAGACATAAGTGGGGGGCTGGGACGTGACTCTCAACTGAAGCTGTGCCTGGGATATTTAATGACTGACCGCAGTGAAGCAAGGAGGAGGTCCATTGTGTCCAGATCTACAGCGTCTTAGCTGGCTGCAGCCATAGCCACGCACATGGCACTGCATACTGGGGCTATGCTTTGATGTACAGCCGCTCCCAGAGCAGATGGAGAAAGAAAAGAACTGGGTAAAGAAATAAAATCTTTCAAGGACTGAATACACAACAACTAAAAATGCTTGATGGGGGGTGGGTGAAAAAAGTTCAAACAGAATAGCTTTTTTTGTTACTTATTGGAGTCTGCTTTGAAGTGAAGTATCTTCATGTACAACTTTGTATTTTTGTGATGGTGCGATAGAGAGAGAAAGAAGAGCAGGACATCAATTGATATCAGTCAGTCCCCCTCTTTGTGCGAGCCACCGGGCTGGAGTTGGGGTGGGATATGCAAATACAGGCTGTCTGCCTGCCCCTTCAGAGGCAGCAAGAGCAGCACTTTGCTGCTTGCACACACACCCTCACTCGTGCAGAGAGCAGATTACTTAGAGGGTCGAGCCTCGGCAGCAGGTTTTCCTACACAGCATTTGTGTATATGGAGCTGAAACTTTCCAACAGACAGACTGACACTATCTTCCCTCTTTTCTTTGCTCTCTCTTGCGCTCATCTTTCTTCTTTCGCCTCCTCCAGCACACCTTTGTGTTGTTTTCCTTCCCCTCTCCCTTCCCCCTCCCTCTTCAGTATCATCAGTTTTCCCCCTGCTCCGTCTTGCGTGCTCAGAATTTTGTTAGTGAGCAACCTGAAGATGTACAGGACAAGATGCTGTTGATGCTAGAGCTGTTTGGACTGCATGCCTCCTCCAGGGCCCACTGAAGAAAACAAGACTTTCCATGTGCCAAGGAGCAACACAACACCCAGAGGAACTTGAGACTACCACTTCTGAACCCCTCTCCTCTTGACAGTTGAATTTTTGAGACTCTGGATTAGCCTTGGAAAAGACTTAGAAAAACAAAATGCGGACCAAGTTGTGCCAGCTAATAGCACAGGTCTTTCTCCTGGGAGTGTTCCTCTCTGTTGTTCACAGTAAAGGGACTTTCTATGGAGGCCATGTCAACCCTTTCTATGGAAACAGATACAACCTCTACAAGGCTGGACTCAACCCTCACCACTCACCAAACAAGCCCATGACCCGTCACAAGTAAGTTCTCCACCTTGGACACATAACAGGAACAAATGCATGTTTTATTTGTGTTTCCAAGGTGCAGGGTATTGAATTCTAAAATCATTCCAAGTAGCTGGAGTTCAAGCAGGACCCACCTAATACTGTCTTTCCCTCGAGAAACCCATGTCACCAGTGAGTTGCAGAAATATGTTTTTAGTTATGGAATCAGCTTGGTAACAGATCCCTGAATTGACGCTCTGTTTCTGTCTTATTCAAAATCAGCCTTTTTTCTGTGGTTCACACCTAAAACCATCTGTGGCTGGGGATAAACACTATAGTGCAACAACGAAGCAACAGTGAAAACAAAGCCATCATGACGGTCATTATGGTGCAGCGAGGGGGTGCAGAGTTGATGACAAGGGTATTGATTTCTCACAGTCACTGTATGTGTGTGTGGTAAAGGGGTGGGGGTGGGGGGGCGAGGGGGCTCAATTAGGGGCAAGATTTATGGTACAGCTTGGCACACACTGTCAGGAGGGAGTGGCACAACTGGCTTCCAGTCGCTAGACACTGATTTCAAATGAACTTACCCTGAGTTAAGTAGAAAAATATTTAACTTTTCCAGATTTAACACAAAGGTGAGGGGTGTTCATCTGCTTTTAATTACTGCATGGCAGATACATATTGTAAAGATCACACACACACACACAGAAGAGTGTAAGTTATGAACGCTATTGAATGAAGTTCTGAGATGAAACAAACTTGTGGATATATTTTGCCTGATGCCTGATGTTTGGTCTGCAGGGCTCTTTTGGTTTTTCCTCCCTCTTCCTCCTCCCCTTCTCTTTTGCTTGGCTTCCCACAAGAGCATTTATGCTTTTGGACAGCTCCCTAGCTACCTGCTGCTTCACTCAAACTGCCACAGAAGACTGCTGATTGCCCAGCCCCACTTAGTCTGCCATGTATGCTCACCTCCACCCAACAGACTTTTCAGCATCCCTCAACCTGAATGCAGTGTCTATATTGAGTCTACACCTTTAACTTTCTCACTTAACTATAAAACTGAATATATTCCTTTCATCCCGTTATATTTTGCTCACTATTCAGTTAATCTGAATATTGGATTTTCCCCAGCTATTATAAGATTACCACTTTTTTTTTAAACTGACCTAATTGACTAACTAAAATAACTTCTTACTTAACACAACTCTTGCAGAAATACATTTATACAATCAGACTCTTGCACCCCATATATTTTGTACAATTCTATATGGTAAGAACTGGACTTTATCTGTATAAATTGTTTCTAATGGACATTCATCTTGTGTTTTCGGAGGTATTTATTCACCAACATTCACATGCCCTAAAATTCTGAACATAAGTATGCGATTTCAGATAATTGGCAACACAAATCTATAAATATGACAGTTTTGGAGTCACAGGGAGCTGAAGCTTAAATTGCCAAACTCGAATTGGCTTACTAAACAGTAAGCCAATGCAGTTTTATAATGATTTAATGTATGCACTTTAATTTTTTTATTTAGGTCATAAGTGTTCTTATCTACAGCATGGTAGCTATATACCTGTATACCTTCCTTTACTTTTTGACAGCATTGCCAAAGAGGTTTACTTATTTTTATACAGGCCGTCGTGCCGGATTTCCATCTTACACAACAAGATTAGTTGATTAGCCAGATGTAATAGACTTTTCAGTCAAAACAAATTGATCAATAATGAAATACAGTCAGGAACTGCTTGTTGCTGGTAACTGGTAGTATTGCTCCATTTGTTTCTGAGAGTCCAACTATAGTTTTATATAGGAGCTGCAGGCACATCTTAGACACAGTGGGGATGTGTTGCTGTCAGACCACCACTACAGACATATGAGCTCAGTTGTTGTCAGCCTGACTAGTCAATGGAAATAGACACTTTAAAATAACACGTTATGATGTGTGTGCGCGTGTGTGCGTGTGTGTGTGTGTGTGTGTGTGTGTGTATGTATGTGTGTGAGGGAGTGAGTGTGTTTATGAATGCCTATTTAAGTGTAACTAAAGGACTTCACTGGAGCGCATTTACAGCATGTAAAGTCTAACTCCTCTTTCTAACTTGACTACACTGACATGGACAAAACCTCACTGGATTTTTAGTACGAGACTTAAAAAATTCTCAGCTGTTGGAACACCCCAGACTTTTTGTCTTCATGTTGAATTATTGTCTGTATTTTGGCAGCAAAGCGAGTGATTTGATTTCACAGTCATTCCTTCATTCAGTGCAACCACTTGCTTCTGTAAGAAAAATATATGGCCCCCCAGTGGGTGACTGTGACATCTTAGACATTTACAGTACTGTACCTGTCACAGCTCTATTGCAAAGAAGCTAATTTTCTTCCAAAGGTTAAACTGTGGCTCGGGAAGGTCAGATTTTGTGATTTATGTTTTTAACAAAAGGTCTGGGAAAGAGGAAAAAATGAGTGAAAGAAATCACTTTTTGAGTATTTTGGAAGTTCTTTTAGGATTAGCAAAACAATGACTATTTTTCACACATCACCACTGAACAGGTGCCAAGAGTCATACATAGTCATCACTGGGAAATGGGTATTGGATAAATCAAACAGCATCCTGGGAGATGCCACATGTCTTTACCAATCAGATTACAGACATATCTGAGGGCTTTTTCTTTGATGTATGGGACAGAGATCAAGGGGGAAAGGTCAGTAAGTTAGCAGAGGTTAAAGGTTAGAGGTTGCTGTTGTACGTTTATCTTAAATGTCCAGTGGAGAGCAAGAATGGAGCCGGTCTCCTGCTAAGGGTCAAAAAGACCATGCAGCCAACTCCCAAGCTACCTGACACTTTTCTTTTAAAATCCATCTGCCAAAGTACTCAGGTTTATGTAAGAACAGTGAAAAAGATTAGTTGCTTTTTATAAAATATTGAAGGTATTTAATGAGGTTGGATTATGATTCAGTTTATAGTTAGTTGGACAGGGTGTTGATTCTGGTGCGAATTTCCAAATAATTATCCCAAGCAAAGTGTAACTGAGAACTTACATCATTAAAGTAAAGCATCTAGATTTCAGTGCTTTGTTATTTTTATGCAAAAGTCTTTCAATGAGCCACAGCTGGCATGTACAGGTGTGCTTTAACTTTTTAAGACTAAAAGACATTTACAACAAAAGGTAAAGTTATTGTTCACTTTTGTTTTTAGTCAGCAGATGTAGGCATAAAAACGTACTGGTTTATGAAAAGATTAGCATTTTGGTAAGAATGCAGTCTGTTTTTTTTTTTTGTTGCATTTTATAATTTACATGTAATAGAAATTTGCAGGAAAAATGGGGCAGAAGGGGAATCAATAAATGGAATAAGTCCAGCTACAGGAGTTCTCCTTTGGAGAGAGTTATACTTGCCGTGTCTCTTGTTTTCAGTCTTTATGCTAAGTCTGGCTGATAACCTGTGACTCTTCATACTTGGCTAATACACAGATCAAAAGATCTTCTCATAAAAGCCTCTGAATAAAAAGAGAATAGCTCTATTTTTATTTGCCTGTGAAGAGATTTGTGTTGCAGGTTACATATAACTGATATTCTGGTCTCTTCAGTGTATCAGGCCTATGTGTACAGCTAAATAAAGTATCACACTTACACTATTTCACTCTTATTGCATACACAATAACCCCTTTGCTTTGTAAATCTAATAATTCTGCTTGAAACCGTTCTTTTCAGAAGCACAGAGAGCTTATTCAAAGTAGATTATGTACTTTGGAAAATGCCTGAGGATAAGTAAAGTTATTTTTTCAGTACATCTACATGTACACAAGCTTATGTTGTTGCTTTTAACAGCTTAATTTCCAAAATGTAAGCATGTGTAGTCACTTGAGTTTAAGCTATGATGACTAGAGCTGGCTTGGAGCTGACCCTGTCTCCGAATGACAAAGTGATCCCTTTGGTCTTAAAGCTGGGAGTAGCATGCCTTTACCTCTAATCATTAGGCATAAGCACAGTTTTAATAATCCCTGGACCATGGGAATTTCAAGACCTGCCAGTTGGCTGGAAATAGGCTTCATTAAAAGCATATATCAAAAGAGATGGGCCTTGGAGTTAGACCAATGGTCCTATTAAAGATCATATTTTTTTCAATATCCATTCCACTCTTCATAAATCTGTCGGACCCAAAAGCAATGGACTCGGGTCAAGCAGTCAGGAGTTCCTACAGGTGAGAGTGTGGTTAGTAATGAGTGAGGTAAGCCCTTTAGTGCCACATGTCAAAACAACTGAGGCAGTATAGGGAAACGTAAAGAGCCTGACATGATGAGGCAAGGCGGAGGAGCTTTGTGATATATAGAATGAGGGAGAGGGGAAACGTACAACACAGCAAGAGAAACACTGACTAATTAAACATAACCTGAAGTTATAGGAAAATTTATAGGAAAGGGTGAATGAGAGGTGATTTGTTCAGGCTCATCAAACTGCGGAGGTGTAGCCACAACAATACTTTCCAAACACATTCCACATGTGAATTTGAGATGGGAATTCTGCTTTTCTCTTGGGAGGCTATGAAAGGATTTTTAAGCTGAAACGCTATACTTCAAACATTTACAGTGGGACCAGACCAGCAGTCACAAATGCCATAGTCCAGTGACACAAAAACAGACAATACTCGGAGTAAGGAGGAGGGAGAGAGACAAGAGAGACAAAGGAAAGTGCAGTTTTCCTGTCGTGGTGAATGGAGATGAAGACTTTTCATACTGATTGAAAAGGAAGAGTGCAAGGTCAGATTAGGTCTGGAGACACAGAACATAGTTTACACAAATTCAGTTTGTGTATTCAGTGGGGATTGGGTGGTTCAGTGAATGTGTGGATCAACTGGAGACTTTCAGTTTTGGGTGTTTCCCTGCCTTCTTTTTTTTTTTTTTTTTTGAAAAACATCAATTGTTAGTTTCATATAACACACAAAAAAATTTAGCGTTAAGTAAGTGAAGTTAAATGACTATTGCCAAAATAAAGAGATTATTTGGAAGATTAACATTTTCATTCATCCAAAA